CCATTCTATGATTCTACGATTCTACATATGTATTCAAAGGACGTTTCTATAGCATTTAACTAGAGCTAGCAAGGTTCCAGCCTTTCAAAGACTGCATAATCTGGCTTCACCTTTTCACCTGACAACCACCACATCAGCATTTCTACATGGACTTCCCAAAGACATGGCCCTTCAATTTTTTGTTAGATCTCTTCAGTTTATGATAAATGTGGAAAAACATGACTCTATAGAGAACCTAGAGGGGTTAACAATTCTCTGCTTCTAGCCAAGAAAAGTCAGTTGAAATAACTACAGCAGGATTCTGGGTCCATGTCGAAGTAGCTGAATTTTATCAGCATAGCTCCACTGGGCAGTGTGGATTTTAAAAGAAAAGCCTGCAAGAGGGAAATTAACAGGGAGATTAACAGGATCTAAACCCAAAGAAAAGCAACTACTCTTCCTTATTCCCAAATACACAGACATTTGCCTAGCATCTCAACAGTACTGCTGGGACAAAAATGATAAAGAAGCATCTCACCTTGGTCTCTGTATTTCTTCATAAATTATCTTATAAAATTCAATTTCCTCACATAACCTCTGGTAGTTAAATACTAACCAATAGCAAATCCATACAAATAAAGTCACCAAACCCAAAGGAAAACAGAACAAACTTGGTGAAAGCGTTTCATCAGGAAACACATTAATCTTAAGTCTAGAAAAAACGACTGCCACCTCTAGCCAATAGCGGAGACTTACCGAAGGAGTCAAGGTGGGTGTTTTCACTGGGAACAGGTCGGGTATGGAATTCAGTTCTGCCAGCAACTGGGCAAGCTGAAACCAACAGCAATGCTGCACTGAAAATTCACTTCAAACTTGCAAACAGGCAACACCTATCAATCATCTACTATTCACATGCACTCTGAATTATATCTAAACACATGAAGTTTCAGTGCATGAAACCCTTCTGGAGGCATTTTATTTAAGTGGGGCTCGTAAAAGGGGTTAATTTGCCCCTGAATAAGCAAAACTCTGCAGGCAGTACTATCTTCACAGCTCCCATTAATTCTTACTGGGAATTAGAATCAGCTCGAATTACATCCAATCTTGTCGAAACAGCACTGAAGAAGCACATTACAACATGGTTATGATATCTATGCCTGATAACAAGAAATTCACTGTTCATATGACAGGAGAGAAAAAAGGAAGACAGGGTGCCCTTGGCCAGAAGACTAAGATATTCCCTGTGGGCTATTTCACTGAATGACTTCTGACACACCTGTGCTTTTTGCCAGGGAACTCAAGAGTGTCCCCTTAACCAGGGACATTGCAGCAAGGAAACTTTGCTCGTCATTTCCTTAGTAGCAATGACTGGGGACATCCCTTTTTCAGTCAAGACAGCTCATGCTGGTTTCACAAATGCTGTAAACCACATCTAGTAATGCTACACAGGAATTGCTTTGTGCAGATACCCGGAGCAACATCAGTACACACTCACTTGCAAAGTCATAAAACAACTTAAGCCCCGTTGGTGGTTCCCCTAACCATGGTCTATACCATATCAGAAGCACTTCAGGATAATCTGCTGCACCATGGAGAAATCTTGGAGGTACATTTCAACAGACACAGTGCCTGACAGGTCCAGAAAAATACTGACCTGTTCTGGAAGGCCAGGATGAGGCTATCTTCTGAAAAGCCAGCAATAGCAGGGGGGAGTCAGGCTGCTAGCTGTCTCTGAGACCGCCATACCAATCAGGAGATTAAAAGCTGGATACAGCATTTCTCAGTAAATACTTCAGTGTGGCTTTTATTAAGAGCTATTTAATGTCATTACAGTAGTGCAACTAGGATGCCAATGAATTTCACAATGGTTAAATGAGAAGGAAGAGTGGAAGGTGAGAACGGTGGAAGAGCAGCAAGACCAACACAACAGCAGTGAGGATACAAGACAGATGAAAAACACAGGTACAAAACTGAAGCAGTTTTTTATGTGGGAGCTGCAGGCCAAGAGGTGTACTTGAGCCCCAAGACTGCTTGGAAGCTGCAGCTTTTCCTGGAATACAGTAAAACTGAAGGAGCCACTGAGGACCCAACATCAACTCAGATTTGCACTGCAGTGTGATAATTAAAGAGAGCTGGTGGCATTTTGGACAATAGAGGAAAAAGCAGTAGGGAACAATCAGTGCCTCTCTTTTCCACCCCTACATGCGCACATACACACACTTTCAGTAGTTATACAGCAAAGCATCACCGTAAACACCACATCCCACACAACTGAAAAATTACATTTATCATCCTTAGCCGCTTTTTGCTTGCTTTCCAATTAGTAACTGCAGCAGATCTGTCAGACACAAACCAAAAGCAGAAACTGCTGTGCAAATGACACCACGAACCACCAGAAGGGACCAGCTGGTTTCCTGACACATTCTGAATATAAGACTGCAACTTGGGCACATGTAACTTTGTTCACATCCACACACAAAATGCTTAGTTCAACTCTGGTTTGAAATTTGAGCAGGCTAGTCCTACTTGAGGCTATTTTAGGGGTAAACGTCTAAGTGCTGAGGGTCCTTTAGGGTTTTCCCAGGTAGAAAAATCCAAACACAAACCACCGTGAGATTTTCCCAAAGTCCCAGCACAGCACTAGCACGAACCTCAAAATTCAAAAGTGTGCTGAAGCTAACTACCCAGATGTAAATGTCAGAGAACAAAGCACTGCTCCTAAGTCTTACCATGGCTTTATTTTCTTTAATATTCATGGATCTCTTAAGTAGAGCACTGGAACTTTCCTCTTGGGTTTCTTTAATGTCTTCTTCAGACTCTGAAGCAGAGCCCTGTAGTTTGTCCCACTGCTTGCAGCTTATGTCTTTTGAAAGAGGTGTGAGGGATTCATTGTCCTTTAGAGGTAAGTCAGAAAAAGCCTGTTCAGGCACTTTTTTCTCAGACGACTTTCTGCTGGGAAACTGCAAGGCAACACGAAGGCCAAAGCTTCTTCTCTTGGGGCAAACTTTCTTCTTAGCCTCTTCCTCCTCTTCTTCCTCACTACCCAAAAAATGACTGCGTTCTTCATCATTCAAGTCCGACTCCATTGCCTAGAGGCAGGAAGAATCCCACATTACATTACTGTCTGTGATATGAGAAAGGTAATTTTTAAATCGCTAATTCTAGGCAGCAGTCTCACCCTCCAAAGGCACTGTCATAAATTCACCTAAATCAACAAATTTTCAAAAATTCACAGAATAAGACTTCTCTCTGTGCAGAGACCAACACAAAATCTACCTATTAATATTATCTGGGATACAGACATGGCTGTCTTCAGAGGAGCAATCTTGCCCACAGTCAGTCTACAAACAGGGGAAAAAGTTCCCATTTCTCGTATGTGATGTTCCATTAAATAAAGCTTTTTTTCTCTTTTAAGATAATACTTATTTTTCTTCAGCATGAGGAAAGAACATCACGGTGTGTCAGAAACACTCTCGATAGAACATGAGGTTTACACAGAAGAGACAGAGAAAAGAAATCAACGTATACATTCATGGGTAGGTGACTGCCTTTACCAGAACTCCTTTCTTGTTCACATCCACCTCACTTGAAGTGAAGCCTTCAAATGCTTCCGTTTCAGAGTCAGTGTCCTCAGTGAAAATCCTCCGCAGTTCTTCGGTGAGGTATCTGGACTGAAGTCGAACCCCCTGTAAAAATACCAGCCACTAGCTGTGAGAGACAGTCAGATACAGAGGAGTCACGCAGTCACAATATACAGGTTCTGAGGCTCAAGTGGGTACCAACTAGGTGGCATACACTCTGAAGGCACTTTGCAGGCAAAGCCTGTCAAAAGAAAAAAGCAGTAGACATTCAGAGTTTCAGCACTTAGTTATTTTAACTTAGCAGGTTTTTTTCCCTCATTTTGAGCACAGGGCTTTAACTGAGCTGCTTCTTGTGGGGGAAACCACTTCTTCCTCCTCTTCTTCTCTACTACCCAATAAAAATAAACTATCAGTTTTCTGATGTGTAAATTACTATGTCGTTTTGTATGTTTTCTTCTGTATGTAAAAAAACAGGCCTTGAATGGAAGAAAATACAAGCCACAACCACAGTAAGAAAGAGCCCTCTTTTTTCACTCGGCCGTGGAAATAACACTCTCCCCTGGGCTTGCTGCAGCAGTACTCAAGGCTCCCAGAGATGGAGCCTGCTCCTCACGTTGTTACACCACCACTGAAGTGACAGACACCAACGCAAAACCACAGAGCTTTCAACATCCTGACTAACATCCCTCCACCTTCCAACTGCTCAACTCTCTCTGTTTTAATGGTGCAGTTTATCATTCAAATGTGTTCTAGGGTAGACAGATCCCAAATTTCTGCCTACAGACTACGAAGTAAAAAGTCAGCCCATGAAAAATAAACTAATATCTCATTAAAACACTCCTCATGATATGCACTTTACATACCAGTTTAACACAATGCATTTACTAAATCAGAAATATATTTCCATACTTCTAACCAGAACTAGCAGAAGACCATCTTGTCTTGTCTTGGTCAACTTGCCCCTATTAGTCTCCTGAAAGACTCATCCTTGGTGGGAACATAACTCATATTCACACCACGCCCATCTCTTGAAAGTCAGCAACATTCACTTAAGTTTGTTTCCCCAATTTTCCTCTGCTATTTCTTCCTCCCACACAAGATACAAAAATGACCTTTCCACATGATGCACTTGCTAAATATCTTTATTCTTCCTTTCAATTCCCTCCTTTCCCTGACTTTAATTACACACTTCTTTACATTAAGATAGTATCTGGTGAAAAACAGATACAACAGATGAGTGGAAAAAACTTACAGGGCAATGGGAAGGCGGAGCTACTGCATATGCCATTTCTCTACACTTAAACATCTCCTACAAATTAGTATGGGTAATTGGAATGAGTTTTCTCTGAGCAAAATTACTTTATTCTTTTGTTGATAGCTGCAGCGCAGCTGCCTGAGAAAGGAACAAACACAACTGGGAAGTTACATTAAAGTTAAACCGTATTTCTTGGGGGGAAACTAAAGTTTTCATGCATTCTGTGTTTTCATTAAATTCCACAATGAAAGTTGAGGGCAGGGCGGGGGGGGGGAATCAGCTGTTTCTTAGCTAAAGTGACTAAAAATAACACACCTAGAGCTATACTGTTACACCTATGAAGAATGGTCTACACAAGGTAAAATACGCATCAGGGCTACCTGCAGGAGAAATGTCTGAAACTCAGTAGAAGAGCAGAGATCACGGGAGCAGAATTGCGGAAAGCCCTGAGGAAGAGCAGACATGCAGAGGTCAACACTTGTTAATGCATTTGCGCATCAGCTTCCAAGGGAATGCCTGATGTGCTAACATCCCATTCACCACCCTGGCAGAGCAGCTGCCTTCCCTCCTGTCCCAACAACTGCAGCATTTTTCCTACTTTCCATCATTTTACTCTTCGCACCAAAACCTTCTTGTTTCCTGCACAACAAGCACCTATGATCTTTCTCAGCAACAGTGGTGTTCGACATGATAAACAGATGGAACTCAGGTTTAAAAATTGTGACATTTAGTGATAAAGGAGTTAAACTCAGTACTGATGTAGATTTAAAACCATTCTGAGCCCAAGGGTAACAGGAATGGTGAGGAAGGCTGCAGTGCCAGCTGTAAATCTGGAACAACCCTCACTGGAATTCCCAGAAACACACACTAAATGGACAGTCCCTAGCTCTTCCACAGCATTTCTCACCAGAGAATTTTAAAATGCTTTGCATCAAAGATCATTATCATAATCTCCATCTCACAAGTTGTGAAACCAAGGCAAAGAGAAGTTAAGTAAGGTGCCTGCAGCCCCCAAGCAGGCAGCAGAAGCAGAACCTCAGACTCCTGCACAAGGCTCCATCACCTCCACCACCTCCTCTCCTTGTTGATCCTTCTTCATGTTCCACACAAAGCCACAGATACAAGAGCAAGCTACCTCCTAGTTTTCTGAAGTTACCAGTACGGCAGCCGAGCAACAAGATGATGAGGCAATTTAGAGCCAAGTATATTTCATTACTTTTAAGCCACTGTCTTTCTCCATAACACAGACTTGAAGCTCTACTTCCAAACAGTTTCTGCACTTTGTACAAGCCTCTCTGAGGCCATTCACCTACAGAGGCTCAAGAATATCACATACTTGTACAAGCCTCATTCTGCCTGTTCCCTTCGCTCACACTAGTCATATTGCTTGTCTTCAGCAAATCTTAACCAGGTACTTACCTGGTGGACTAGGAAAAGAAAAAGCCATTTTGAATTTTTTTACTAATGTAATAGAGGGACCCTTTTGAAAGCACAGCTGAGAAGGGTATCTTTTAGCATATTAGCCCATATCTATCAAGCACATAATTAACAAGCTTCTAAAAGATCAAAAACAAAATTTTCTGGTAGCCAAGACAGCACACGAGTTCTCTTCCTTTCTTGTGAATTCAGCTGGTACCTCCAGCTACAAAATCAGAGAATGAAAAATATCAAATCCTTATGCTGATCCAAGCTACTTCACCGTTAAGAGCGCAGAGAACCCCCAAATCTCACTATTGCAGCAGGAGCTGATGGTTTTTGTGGGTCACGACCACTTAAACACAATTCTAGTGCAGAAACAGCACCCATAAAAATTTCTGGAAGAAATAATTTGAAGCCTCCGTGCTCACAAAACCCATCTATTATCATGCATTTCCACTGTCTTATGTATTTAGAGCCCAACAGCCCAGGATGTTTGTTACAGTTACCTTCTTCACTTAAACTCAACTTCTAATGAAACCCATTTTCCTTTTTGTATTATGAAAGAGTTCTTAAATGTAATCACTAAACCCTAAAAAGGATAGCAAGTCTGTTTACATTTATTTTTAATACAAGGACTGCAGATTCTGGGTTTTGCTGTGAGTTATGGCTTGCGCAGCCTTGACACAGGCTCAGAGAACTGCTGCACCCAAAGCGCGCAACTGGGCCACAGCAATCCATTCCTACCTTTTTTCCTGACTCCAGGGAATCGAAACCAGCATAGCTCTCCTCTGACAACAACCTCTGTCTGGAACCATCATCTTGGAAGCCCAGAAAATCTTCTTTGTCACTGGGGGCACTAAAAATGTCAGCCGCTTCCTTGGGTATCTGTTTCTGATTCAAAATGAGACAGAAGATACAAGTCAGACACACCAACTTAATACAAAAACTTAAACTGTCAACAGTACAACTTATTTTTATACTCCCATGCAAGTACATATCTGTATCACAAAAATATGTTATGCATAAACTGTACCTCATTTAGCTAAACTCCAGAAAAATTCCACACAGTTTTAGTCCCTAAATACAGACTCCAGATTTGGGGCTAGGAAGAGGATGCGATACGCACAGTGTTTAACTCCACACAACAGTGCTTCCCAGATGTAAAAACACGCGTGTGCCTCATCTTTGCAAGCAAGAGCTCAGAGCACCTTTCAGACATAGTGAAACCCAGCATTGCTCCTCGTCTTACAGAGCAATGATGGCTCAGAGGTGAGGAACACACCTTCCAACATAATGCAATGCTAAACAAGTACAAAGAAGCCTCACCATTAGATCCCATAACAGTACTGTTACATATTTTATCAGACACTTACCCTACTCCCCAAATAAAACCAATGCAACTCATTCTCTTTCATCAGTACTGCCACAGAGCTTTTTCTGCGACACTTGGTAGGAAAGTGAAAACCCATTTTAACCGAGAACATTTCTTGTTTGCTAGGAGGCCACGATGTAGCCCACCAGGAGGAAGCACGGCCAAGGGCAGGCAGCTGCACTTTCGGAGGTGACCAAGGTCACAACTTCAGAGTTCAAGAAGTCCAGACCCTGCACGGAAGGAGATTTGTACCACCAGAGGTAACCATTCCCCCAGCCACATCCTTCACCAAGCACTTTGGATAAGCCTCCCCAGGTAAGGAAGCCTTCAGGCAGCTCCCACCTAGGCTGCTTTAGGATTTGGTGTGTGGAAGGATAGGACGAACAGATCCAGCCTTAAAAACTAAAGCAGAAGGCATTTTGTCAAGTTTCAGAACATGGTTTTAACACATCCTGGTATCATTTGCAATACCATTCTGCCATTCACAGAAATGCTTGAGGAGAAAAGTGTCCAAATTGCTCACCAGCACCTGGATATTCACGTTCTACAAAGCCAGGACCACAGGTACACCTCACGCACACTACTCTCACTTGAAGCAAGCTCTCTGCTGTTTGCTGTATGCTAAACCTGTAGATTATTTCCCACTGCTCTCTCATCAACTCTTAGGAACGCGAGATCAACAGCTGGCTGGCCAGAGGGGCCAGTTCCTCGTCAGAAGGAGACAGTCTCCAGCCCTGAACGTTCAAAAGAACATCCCCAAGGTGAGCTCCAGAACCGAGAGCAGATGGTCCTTTCCTGCTATCACAGACAACCAAGGTTGCTCATAAAGGGCCCCATATAATAATTATTTTTTAGTTTATTTTATCCTGTTTATTTATTTTTTTGTGCCAAGACAAATGGCCCAAAGGAGGCTTTCTCCAAAAACAATGTTGCTGACAAAATTCCACTTCCATTAAAGGACCAAGCAGCACCTTGATCAAAGCTTCATCCTCTGAAATAAGCTACAGTAATGGGCATACATGGGCTTAACTTTATTCTTGCTCTGCTTTTATAAAGCTGACGTAGACCGATGCAAAACCGATTTACTGTTGCTTAAGCAAGAGCAGAATTCACCTCTGCACAACCAACCCTCACAGGCAGGTAACGGCATGACCCAATGCACTGCTGCGGATGTCATGCTGCCCACATTTGAACCCCTTTGGATATTCCCTCACCCCTACTTCTCACAACGGCTAGAATCCAGCTCCGTTGCTGTGATGGAATTCACTCAGTACAGAGCAGCGTTAAAAATGAAGCACTATGCATTTTAATCAAAAAACATACAAGGAGCTGTAAGGCTTGTTGCTATGAATAAATTCCTTCCAGGAGCCACTGCATTAGTTCATGTGATATTGTACAGCCAAGTTAGCCACTGCTGTGATTACTGTATGCCTAACTAATTTCTTCTTCTTCATCTATTACTTTGTGCACCAGAGGAGCTCTTATGGGGGTGTAATTACTGATTTTGAACAAGAAAAAAAAAAAATCTTTCCCAGTAGAAAACCTTTTTTGATCTTTATGCATTCCCAAACACTAAGGTACTGATTTAAGTAACTTACTGCAGAACTTCAAAGATTTTCGGTTTGTGACTTGTTCCCCTTGCGGGACCCTGTGGGGGTCTGACTACGAAGAATGCCATTCCGTCATTGATGAGTCCCATTTTCACCTAAAGGGCTTAGGTTAGTAACAGCAAACACTGAACAAATATAAGGTGGGCATACTCCAAGAGTTCAAAAACAGCACCCTCCTGACCAAGCTTGTTCACAGCCAGTATTTCTGCACCTGAAATCACAAGTCAAGTTTATTCCCATCAGAAGTCCATTGCCATCAGCAGACAGACACCAAAGATGAGCTTGCATGAAACACCTCTGCCGTAATGGGCTGGACTGCTGTTATTTATTGCATAGTCCTGGAAGCCACAGACATTTCCATTTTTAACTTTCAATTAAAATACATTCAGAAACTGATTCATGATCAGCATCAGAGCATAGCATTTTAACTTTGCCAACAAAGTAGCATATACCAAGAAAGAAAGTCAGTATCTACCTAAACAGAAATGTAAAAACATTAATCTACTCTAAGCACCTGAAAGATGCAAGCACTTCAAGAGAGGATCTTTTTGCCACTACATACCTAAAATAGGCAGGAAGGCAGAAAGGTGATGAACATTTCAAGCTTGCTCAGGGAAAATACTTTAACATGAACAGACCACAATGGTCTGCTGAAAAGCTGCAGAGATGTGAGAAATACTGTCTTTTAAAGATAACAATTACAAAAAGCTAAGTACCAAAAAGCTAGTAAAAGCTGGAAATAATTTACAGTTGCTGAAAAAAGTTGAAGTCTTATTTCTAGTAGGAAATTTTATATCTACTGAGCTCAGTTATTTTGGCACATAAAATACACTTACTTGTTTAAAACACCCATAAGGTACTTTTCAAAAGCAGCAGAAAACATTCCCCACTACAAACAGTATATATCAATTGCCAAAATAACCAACCCCAACTACGTTTTCTCAACAAAAGATCAAAGTTCAAGATACTCAGTTTCCCCTTCTCTAAATTTGACAAATCTCACCAGTACACCCAGGAGCGCACCTGAATTTGTCGGGCTGCAGGGATGAGAGCCACCCTTCCCACAGAACTGTGAGCAGGCAGCTCCTGTGCGCCCGTGGTCTGCTGACAGACCTGCTGCCATGGGGCCAGCGGTGACAGAGACGGAAAATGGGGCTGTGAGGGATGTCAGACCTGTTTCGGCGACGCTCCCGCACTCACCACACGAGTGAGGGCAACAGTAAGGCAGCCGAGGTCCCCACCAGTCAAAACAACATTTTTCCAAGGGCCACCCCCACAAATTCTCACTGCCACGTTAGCCAAGGAGAAAAAGAAAAGCCTGGCGTGAGACGTTTTACTTTCCATATCAACAGAAAGAATTCTCGTGTCTCAAGTGAAAAAGCAACTTTACCGGTACCAAAGCCAAAATAGATGCAACTTCTTCCACAAGGCAGCACCGTGGCAGGCTGCAGGGAGAGAAAGCCTGCGTGCATGCACGTCCTCAGCTTCGGTGGAAAACATCAGAGTTATCTGCACATCGCTGTCACCCATAGGTGCAAAAACCTCTTAACCATTTTAAATATTGCTTTCATTGCCAATAGCCACACTAGCATATTCCTCTGTGACAACAATGTACTGGGAGAACGTAACATGTGAGAAAGCAGGGATACATGTAATTTTCTGGTTTTGCTCCTATAGTGTAAAAAATCAGTTGGGCTGTTTTCCTCTCATTCAAGTTTGCACAATATATGGACACTCCTATTTGAAGCAGAGTACAGATAATTTTGGTAACATTCAAACATGTATTCATTTCAGTCGAACTGAAATAATCCCAGTTTAATCTCAAACGTCTACTCACACGAACAAAACTTGTGCAAAGTCACACCTTCAACACACACTGGAAAATCTCTTGATTTGTCCCAGGCTCAGCACACCAACAATCCCGAGGCACGCCACCCAAGGGTTACAGGCACTGGATTTGGCTCGTAGCCCCGAAATAACAACCGAACAGGGAAGCGCTCCAAGGCTGACAATTATGGGCAGCACTACAAGAACAGAGGGCCCCAGCCAGAATGCTGATAAGTGCCAAACCCAAAACTATTTACAAGCCGAGATCCTGGTCTTTCTATTGGAATCATAAAGGCGAACAGCACTGTATGCAAGCTTAATTTTAAACATCATGCAAGCGTGTGAAAGACACAGAAGACAGAGAGAGGTAAAGTCATATGTTATGGTGCAGAAGAATCACGAAAGCGGACACATAGTCAGCAGGACTGTCAACACCATCCAACCAGCCTGAGACACAAGGGCAACAAAATCTAGGAAGACAAGGAAATCCCAGATGATCTCAGCAATTTCCCAAAAGCATTAGAGCACAAAAACCTGAAATTTTCTGGATGGTGAAGTATATTCCTGGCACAAGTGTCAGCAGGGTGAAAGGCAAACGAGTGTTCAGAGAAAAGAAGGAACAAGTAATAAAATGAGCAGTCATCATGCAGTTTTACAACCTTCACTTCCTCAGAAGGTGGAAATTGATTATGCCTAAACCTGTAAATCTGTCACAGCAACAACTCCTGGGACCTTCAGGGTCCCACTGCTCCCACAAAAAGGTGTGGTAATTTTCACCCTAGTCAACCTACTGCTAAACCCAATTACTCCATGAAATCTTAGGAAATTCAGCTATTTCAGAACAGTAGAGTATGGGTTTTACATTGCTTTATTTAAACTGATAACTAAATAAGCTAAAACACATGGAGCTACTTTATCCTAAAATACAGAATGTCCAACTATCACAAACACATGGCAAGTCAGTTAAATGTTACCTTCAATTGTCAACATCTACCTGGAAACTATCCCCTACTTTTCAAAAACACCAACAATATGACAACCTGCATGCCAACATATGAACACAGTCCAAACACTCTGTCAAC